AGGCGCGGGACCCGAAGCTTGTTGTCTTGCAATACTTGCTTGTCGTGCTGAAGCTCGGCGGCCAGATGTTTTCTGTCACAGATCCCTCGTGCTCTCTGAAACAAAGATTTACCCACGGTAGCTAACTATCAAGGATAATGGTGAGATTCACCATTTAAATATCGGTTGGTATGGGTCTTTTTCCTACACACAGTGTGACCAATTGTGTTATTAGGATTCCGAATGACTAAAACATCTAGGAAAGCTAAAGAATTATTTGCCTCTAACTCCATTGTGAATTGTATTTTAGAGTTTATAGAGTTAAGGTGGTTTAAAAATGCAGTTACTTTGTCAGATGGTAAACCTGTGAAAGTGTCGTCTACGTACCGCTTGTAGAATCTTGGATTTATAGGAGCAGTATGAAGGGCTTTCTCCTCGAAGTCCTCCATGAATATGTCGGCGACTATTGGAGATACAGGTGAGCCCATCGCCACACCATCTACTTGCTTGTAGAACGCTTCCTTTCACAATAGATAGCCAGATGTGAGGCAGTGTTTGAGTAATACTAAGTAAAAGTGTGGTCGTGGTAGGAAAAGGGGAGATCTCCCGCCGGGCAAGGTGTTGTGCCCGGGGAGCGGCCAACGCTCCGTGTGATAGTTTGGAGATGTTCTATATATACTTTTTTGACTCTGAATGTTGATAGCGCGATTTAGGCTTCGGTGTGTTTTCGCTTGTGGCGGCGACGACAGCGCCGCTACATCACCCCCTGCTCAGACCGGAGGTCGTTAGTGCAGCCTTGTAGCCGACGAATGTGCAAGTGCCAGTGGATTGCCTTGTAGTCTGCGGTGAGTCGAGAAGAAGGCAAGTAATCTGCGAGAGTGCCGTGAAGCAGAGGCGAGCAGTAAGGCTCAGAGCCGTGCCGAACACTGTATAGCGCAGAGAGTAGCTTGAAGGAACAGGAAGCATTATTATTCCAATGCTGCGATGAACCTTGTGAAGCTAGATGGCTTGCAGGATATGAAGACTGCAGACGATATCTACTCAGGAGTGAATGGGTGGGGTATTTTTATGACGATGATGAAGCTTGAAGTTTCCGAAGGTTGTTGGTTGCGTGTTCAGATCACGTCGGATGGTCACCACTGTGGCCGTGAAAGGAAAAGGGGGAGATCTCTCGCCGGGTAAGGTGTTCTGCCCGGGGAGCGGCCAACGCTCCGTGTGATAGTTCGGAGATGTTCTATATATACTGTTTTTGATTCGGAATGTTGATAGCGCGATTTAGGCTTCGGTGTGTTTTCGCTTGTGGCGGCGACGACAGCGCCGCTACAAAAGTAGTGAAACAAACGCGATAAAATCCGTAAATTTAGTTTTATTCAATGTGTATTGTTCACGTAAATTTAGGAGTGTGCTTAATTATAATTTATTCAATTAACAACTTTTCTCTTTTATAATTATAAATTATGATAATTATCTTGAAAAAAGATTTTTGGTGTTATTTATAAAATTTTCCCCTTTGCTACCGAAGCGCTTCCCTGATTGGATGCATAGAGTATCTTTTAATAACCAAAAATTGGACGCTTCTCGACCACAAACTATTATAAGAAGAGTGCTAACGTACAGACCATGGATGTTAGAAAACAGGAGAACGATCGCTGTAGAAAATAGTGTCCCAGAAACATGGACAAAATAAGTGAGGCACTGCGATCGCTAAGTTGACTCAATAAAAACGGGCTGTTGTGCGCTAGTCTAAAATGATTATAATATCATTCAAAGAAAAATAAGGCAAATAACTAAACTATTATTATTATTATTTATTAATAAATAAATTATGTTTTTTATAATTTTAATTATTATAAATTATTATTATTATTATTATTTGATAATATTACACCATTTTACAATGTTTCTTTTTGTCAATAATTAAAAAATTACTTCGCAGATACTAGGTACTTACCGACGGTAGTGCGGCTATAAATTCTACAAATTTTCAGGGTCAGGCGGGCTATGCTTTTGCACGTAGCGATCGTTCTCCTGTTCTCTAACCTCCATGGTCCATACGACCGTCTTCCATACTAAAAATTGGTCTATAGCGAGCATTGATATACAAAAAACCCAAGATGCACAGTCTCGAACAAAAGTTACACTCAAAACTGTCGCCAATTATACATTAGTAGTTATAGTTATGATATAAACATATATTTTTGCAAATTCGACCTTACGTGCATGATCAAAAGTTGTTTTTAAAAAGCAATGTCTAAAAAGCTCATAAAATATATAGAAATAGCCAAAGTTCCTTATCAAAGCTCAGAAGTGGTCAACAAATTGGTGGAAAATGTTGGTTTGAAGCTCAAACACAAATCACTCGTCTGTGAAGCCTTCGGCATTCATTTTTGAATGGTAGTCCTCGTTCTGAGACTTCACAGCACGGAATACCCATCTGGCTCCGGGTATAAAGCCATACTTTGCGCAGCATGCATGACAAACTGAAACAACATAATTAAATGAATATCATATTTTGTATGAAATTATTATTAAGTCGTATTTCTTACATAAAAGATGAAAAAATATATATCAATTAGTCAGCCCCCCTTTCCCGTCTATGTGTTTAAGCCGCCTTGTCCATCCTTATATAGCCAAAATCGTTTGCGGCTGTGATTTTGTTCACTCAAGTCTCATCTAAATAAATTCTTGTTCGAGTGTCTTCACTATCCCTCAGGGTCTTGAGTTTTCTCAGGAATTGTAGCCGCGCACAAACGATGTCAGCCTTTTCATCAATTGTTTACGACCATCTGGAGCCTGTGTGTACTTGTACCCAAGTTCTATGAGTATTTTACGCATAGAAGAAATAGAACATTGGAATCTGTCAATTCTTTCTTTTGCTGTACTTAAAAAAATTGCCGTGGAAGGATATTCACCATCGCGATAAAACGATGACACTATTTGTTTAATTACACTTTTGTCAAAGTCGTCTAACGCAGTTACTCTACAAGGCCGATAGACGCTTTCTCGCGAAGAGCTAACTTACCTTTACCTTCATACACTCTTTTTTAATTTTGTCGATATATCGCCGCAGCAAGTTCACGAGAATGGCAGAAATTATATAGTTCGTGCCGCCGTGTACCTGCCTTCGGTGATTCATTTGTTGTTATCGATAATGGCGTTTCGCCCGCGACACATTCTCACCGCCCTAGCCTGAGCCCTAGTTGAAATATAATATTGTAGTCTTTGATTGAGCCCTAACTTTAAAATAATATGACGTTTTGTATGACAGAAGCCTCGTCTGTCCGAACCATATTTTTTGGATATTTTATTATAAAAATAGCCTTCATTATCTATAGCCATAAACAAAATAAAAAAATATTTATAAACGTTATTGCTATAATAAAAGCATTAGCTTTCGTTTTTCAGTTTAAAATATATTTTTATGACTGTCTCATGCATAACAGAAACAAAGACCATTTATTTATACTGAAAATTTATCATTTTATTATCTACATATTTTTGTATTAACTTACGTACGAGGTCAAGAACCCAATTTCATACATTACTTTTTCGTTTGTCTCTTTGTCCGAGTTAATCTTCAGAATGGCTGAACCAATTGTAATAAAACTTCGCAAATAAAATAATAGAGAGTATTACCTGGTCTGACCTAGACTGAACTTCATTCGAAAAATTTAGAGACTTTTTTTTTATTTAGAATTTTTTTTTTCTTTTATTTAATTTAGGGACTTACATTATTTTTAACATGTCAGCCCCATTGTACCTTATAACTAAAAAACACACTACAATTTATTATATTATTTACACAAAATATAAATTAAATTATATACCATTTGAGCAGCATTTGACATAGGTTCAGACAGAATGCTTTGATATTCCCCTATGTTACGTATTTTAATGTCAGTTTTGGCAATTAGTAGTTTCATTTCATGATGATTTTTGGAACATTCCGCGAGCAAGTGTTGTACATCTTCTATTGTCTTTCGTGTTTTGCAATTTGGAGATTGTTTCTTTTTCATCATGAAAGCAAACTGATAAAAATATTGATAAGATGAAATAAATGATCTTTAATGATTATCTAAAGTCTAAATAACGCCACATAAATAGATTCCATCTAGGCGACGCTAGAGTGGGTCGCTAGTTATAAATGCTATTTTAAAATTAATGTATCTACCTGGGTATACAATTATTTTTAAATATTTTCCCATTTATAGAAAATTACTATTATTACGTTATAACGATATACCGTTAATTAGCGGGTTTTCGCTATTGGTACTGTGCATGTTGATGAGTACGGGTTCGATGAGCCGTCTTTTCTAATCTCATTCTTTATCCGTACAGATAAAACGAGAACACCGTAGGCAACCGTAAAAAGTAGTGATTATATCAAATAACTTTTACTAATCTATGGATTCAATACTCTTTGGGCAATATTACCAACGTAGACAGTGAAACCTATAGACAAATTGAGGCCTTCTTTCGCATTCGCACACGAAAAAGATAGATTTATGCATACGTCTTGCATAGAAATGACATAGAGCGGTGTAATTGTTTGTCCCTTTCTCCGTGCCGGTTTTTTTGTTTAGCAAACTGTAGAGTTTGTTAAACAACTTTGACAGCGTAGCGATTTAAGGAGTTTACAAGTTGGTTTAAGTGAGAAAAAAAGTGTTTTGTGAGCTTAACATTGATGAATCTTGTTCAGTTCAGTTCTTAGAACAATTAAAATTTTTATCTAAATGTGTTTAAAAGTCATAAAGATTATTCTATAACCTAAAAATTCGTTATCGTTCTTTCTCACTTGAGGCCACGCCGATCATTAGTCTATAGGTATCTCTGTCTACGAGTACCATATTCGTTTGTCAGGCTCAGAAAAGCTAGAACCAGAGCCGTAAAGTCAGATAATAAAAAAATATACGTACGTCAAAACATTGAAGTGACGTTTACAAGTTCTTGTTGGTTGTTGGTGCAAGGAAAGAGATTAATTTGTTGGTGTGTCGTTTATTGCGAAAAATTCGTTACGCAGAATGGGAGACTCGCCAGCTTCAGAGGTAGAGTCAAGTAAAAGCAGTCCTAGGAATGAGGAAAACTCTGAACTGGTAAAAAATTTGTAACACGTCATATTGAATGATTTATTATGGTTGCTTATAATTACTTTGTTATCAGGACCGGCGTCCTTTCGGTGGGTTGGAGTTTCAAGTATCTGAAGTAGTTGGGAGACTAGAGGCTGTAGCGAATGCTCAAGATGCTCCTGAAGAAGAAAAAAAAGTGGAACCGCGTAAAATGAGTACCGGTTTCTTTGAACCTGAAGAAAGTTCTATGGATGAAATTCTTAAACTTTTGGAAGATTTGGTGATCAAAACCGACCCTAATTGTGAAAGCGTTGAGCCACCACTATTACCTACTGATGCAGTGACACGTGCAGCTGTACTTTCTCACAGTATATCAGCCCTGTTTGCTAGACTGGAGAGAAGCCATGCTGTTAGAATTGGAGCTCATATTGCGAGCGAAACGACACGCTGGATGGCACACATGTTTAGGTAGGTAAGAGTTATTTACAATAATAGCCTTCAGACTATCTGAGGCAAGTGTTACCTCATGATGGACTACTCCAATGCAGAAGGCACCTTTTCTTCCTATACCCTCTGCCATTTGTTTTCTTCTTGCTTAAGGTTTCTATAAAGTTGGGTTTTGTTTATAGTGTAATACTTAAGATCACAGAGAATGAGGAGCTTTGATTGAAACATATAAAATTATGCAAGGATACTATAGTTCAGAAAATTAGGACATCACACATTTTAGGTGGCACCACCGCAAATATACTAAAGCCTTATCACAACATAACTCGCACAAGAACTTTTTTAGCTGAAGAGTGGTTGAAGCATGGAATGAGCTGCCATCAGAAGTGATATCAGCAAAACCATAAACCAATTTATGAACAGATTGGATAAACAACTAAGATACCAGGTTACAATATGTATATAAAATACTTTTCTAAAAGTTAAATTTACTTCAAAAGTATTTTATCTCTGGATCCTCATCTATTGCAAAGGTGTAACTAGTGTATGTTACCAGTGATGATATGACGACTTGATGCTTGGTCCTTCACTGCTGGCCATATGAGTAAGTTTAAAGTGGCTCAGGGAGCATTGGAGATGGCTATGCTCGGAGTTTCTCTGTGTCATAGAAATTATAATGAAGATATCTACAAGTTCTCAAGAGATGGCTATAAAGTTCGAAAAACCAACAATTGATTGGGAAGAAAGGTTCTCGTGTGGGAGCCTCATGCCAGTTAGAAAAGTGTATGGCGCCCAGGAATCAGGAAGCCAATGGATGCTATTTCTTGGGAGAAGCCTATGTCCAGCAATGAACTTGTAAAGGACTTTAATGAATGAAATGAGCTCACACCACAGTTTACCTGATGGTAAGTGGATATTGTGGGCTTATAGACAATCTACGTTTATCTTCAATTAAGAATCAAAATGCAGATGTGTTGTTACACTTTAAGGACTAAGATGGAATGCTTTATTTCCAGTAAAAAAGGTTTTGGTTCTCTACGCTCACCATATAATACACAGCAGCATTAAACTGCTATTTTACACTAGTATTCTGGTATAATAATGCATTTTACTTGTACAGCTGACTTTTCTCAGAGCTTGTAAAAGTTCCACTGCAAACATGGGACTTTTACATTTTAGGGAGGATTTGGCTTAATCCTCACGCTTAACAGAAGGATTGACAATTGTAGCGCAAGCTTTAACAAGATTGTTTAATGTACCCAGCATCACAGAGGCAGTCTCCAAATACTAACACTTTTTACTCTAACCATTGGACCACACATTTGTCAAACAGTAGCTTAAATGACGAACATGATTGTTTTCAGATTGGCTGACTATAATGCATTCTATCATCAGGAACACCTGGAAGGTCTGGTGCGCGTTACAAGAATGCTCCTTCATCACAGATATCCACGCTACCTGGAAGATGGCGGTAAGATCAGAGAATAAAGCTTTAATTCATACTTAACCCCTGAGTTACCACAGCATATGTGTATAACAAGCATAATATTATTGCCATTACATAGGTTAAGCCCTTAGATTTTGAGTAAATTGAATATTTGTTTACATAATAAATGTAGGAAAATTTATAAGTTCTCATTAAAAAAATCAGACTATCTAAACTTTTATTATATCAGTCTATAGATCAATTTAAAGATTATTATGCTTTTTTGCAGCTTTGGCGTTTGCGAATCGTCTACCATCTATATACAGCTGTGTAGCAAGTCCATTGGGTGTTGTACAGCATTTATGCCGGCAACTCAGTCTTCCACTTGCATGTGTGCGACCGGTTCCAGTGCATCCATCAGGTATACCTTTTTAAAATTGATATTTTGGAGAATGTTCTCGGATTTTACAAATATTCATTTCTTTTTGGCCAAAATTCATTGACATTGACTAATATTTATAAAATATTTTTTTAATCCTATAAATGTCCAAAATAATTTGTAATTTTTTTTTCAATGTTAACAGTTTAAGTTTATAATATACTTTTATATGATAGACACAATATGTGTATTGTGGTATAGAATATATTATATTTATCCTAAATAAAGGCTTTTATTCACAACTTGACTTGTGCCATGTAATTATTATCATAATCATCATCATTACAGCCCTTCATAAGATCGCTGCGAAACGTAGGCCTCCCCCATTAATGTCACAAAGCACGGTTCTGAATCACCTGCATCCATTGAATTCCTGCATGTCTTACCAAGTCAGCACTCCATCTAGTAGGATTCAGATTATGCACTACACTTTGCCTGCTAGTAAAAGGCTGCCACTCGAAAACCTTTATTCCCCATCTGTTGTCGATTCTTCAAGTTCTTTCTTCATTGCCTTGAAATGTGGTAATGCAATTAAGCTAAAATGCTGTGCACACAATTTTAAAATTTTGTCTCAAACAAATAGTTTCATTTGAAAGTAATTTATTATTTATTGCATTTTATGCTAATATGCAATTCTTCCATTTAATAACTCCAGGTCGAGGTATGGATGTGGAAGCCCTAGAACGGTTATGCGAGGAAGACATAGCAGCAAACAGAACTCCCTTGTTAGTATTAGGGGAGGTCGGAGCTCCGCCCCTCGGCTGGGGTACTCCGTTGGCGGCCTTGAGTGCAATTTGCAAGTCTAAAAACGTTCATCTTCATTTACGCGGGCATGCGTTGGCTCTACCCGCCGCTACTGGTAGAGACGAGGTATGTGTAAATTTTTTTTGAGCTAATGTTTACCTATTGCAAAAGAGCATATGTATGACTTCAGCAGTCCATCGATGTATTAAATTCTTGTCATAATCACAGTAGTAAAATACCAGGAACTCAAGGCCAGAAATGATGATTTTGGTATGTCAAATTTAATGTTTTAAAAGGCGCGTATCTAAGAAGGCTAAGAAACAAAACATGAACGCAAATCTTTATCCAACCATCTGCCTCATTGTAATTTTTGAGGACTTTCACAGGATAAGAATGGAGGATAACTGTAAATGTTTATGAGTCACAACACCACTTTCATCATCAGGTGGACTGTGTGCCCGTTTGTCACCCTAAATTATCCAGCATTTTTCATCAACGCTCTGGTTTACCTTTAAAACATATAAAACTTTCGCCTTTTACATCATCTCGCCAAAATGTCTTCCACTCCATATGTAACGTGATATGAATTTATTGCTAGTCCATATAGTGTTAATTTACCTTATGATAGTGTGAATAAATAGTTCCTACTTTTCATCATTGGGCTTCTTATTTTTCCCTAAGTCAGCTTACCTATCACTGAACTACATATTATTATCATGATGATATACAATATGTAACATAATTAACGCACACCCTCAGACACCCCAATTAGTATATTATGTTATAATCATAATACATAAACTGAATTTTTAGTTAAACATTTTTATGCACTGATTATTTATCAAATTAGTTATACTAATTCCGGAAGCATGTTGTGGTCACAGTACAAATCCACGAACGCAAAGACTTTAACGTGCTTGAAAAAGTTCATTTTTCTTTATTTTTATTGAATGACAGAATCAGTAACAAAATAAATGAAACTGCACTCTTAAAATCCTTAAGTTACGGTCCATTTCAGTTTGTTTTGACTGTACAGATTTAGTGTGACTGTAATTTACATAGTTTTAATTATTTTTGTGATAAAAAAATTACCTATATTAAAAATGATAGGAATCGGTTCAGTAAACGATTCTGAACAAACTACTTTCTCAAAGTGCGTTAATTATGTTACGTGTTGTATATATCCCCAATGCAATTTTTTTTGAATCAGTGGAGTAACTCAACAAATTGTATCCACTATAGTTGCAAAATGTAACAAGTGTAAACAAACTTACAGTTACAGTCCTTGGACACCTGCATCCAACTTTAAATAAAGAAGGCAAGAGATGTGTTTTCACCTCTGAGGACTAAGATGATATGCCTCAAAGCCTGTAACAATTGTACTGGTCCTTCGGACCACACATATTTCTATCATGCTCCGTGTTCCCCATCTGAGACAAGGACATTATAGTGATGTTATATTAATTCATTTTTCGTGACGTCTAATTAATACTTAATTTTAATACAGAGCTATAGCATTGCGGATTCGTTAACACTCACACCGGGACTTTGGTTTGGAGTGCCTGGCCTGCCTACTGTTGTATCCTTTTACTGTTTAATTTTATAAAAGAAGCAAATATCTAGTTTTTAACAATAAATTACTATTATTAAAAAAAACTAAAAACCCATCTGTGGTTTAACTTTGTTTTGACAATTTCGTGCGCATACAGATATGACTGCTTGAAGTTATAGGATGCCGTATACCTAAATGTAAATAAACTCCAATAGCAATATTGAAATTGACTTGTATATTTCTGTATTTAAGACACATGATTGTATTTGGAATTATAAAGGACAATATTGTAATAACAAAACAATAAAAAAACCGAGTATGGGCTTTTAAATCATCCATTAACTCATCACACTGAGCTATAGACATGCAGCAATAATTTAAAAAATATAATTTATTTGCAAAACTTTATAAGAATTAAAATTGGATGTTCTTTATTCTAGCATTTGCCCCCATTGAACATATTTTTTCGTTTCATTTGCGTGCTCTGTCGTTGAAAAAGTTCTGGTTGTCTGTATGCGCACTTATGCCAGCCATACTTATTTTAAGCTACTGTCATAAAGTTTAGGGTCTCTTAGTGCGCAGTTATGATAAAATAGTCGAGATGATATTATTTGCCAAATCCTACGCCAATTTTGGAGTTATGGGCTGCAAACCAGGGTTGCAAATTATTAAGATAATAATGTTCATTGATAATTATCCGATAACTATCCAGTTATTATCCAGCAATATATTGTGCAATAAAAATATTTTAATAGTAATAATTCCTTTACAAAACAAATAAAATGCTCCCTGTTTGATACAATCAACAATAACAAAATTTAAACAAATCAACATTATTTGTCATGTTACCACTCCACAAGTTCAGCAAAATCAAAGACAAATCAACATAACCAATAACTAATAAAATCAAAAGAAAAAATCAAACCAGTGTTGCTTGTTATAAGTCCACAATGGATCCCGATTTCGTGGCATGTTCTTTTACGTTTATGACTGTAAACAAAACTATACATTGAGGGCATGGGGAATTACTACCCATTGACGTCTTCGGATACGCACTATCAACTTGACGCCAAAAAATTGACGCACAATATTACCCGTGTTCGGATATATGCTATAGACTTTACGCACAATATTACAAGCAGGAATAAACGTTATTATCATTGATAATTATCCCGTGTAACCCTGCTGCAAACATATAGAGAGTTATATATATTGTGTTTCGTCGCAGTCGGGTTAAAATTATGTACTGTTTATATTATTCATGTCAAGTAATTAAGCTAAATATGCAATTGCAAATGTCATTTCGTATATGATTAAAAATTGTTTTATAACTGGCTCATCTCTAAAATCTACTTAAAATTTACCACAATTATAACAAGAAAGTGTGTATCTTTTCTTTAATAGTTATTGACTTTTTTTTAATTTGTCTTGAAACATTATTTTGTGATATGTTAAATATACTAAACTATTATATTTTCTTAGCAATTCCACAGACATTTTATAAAATACCCGAACCTGTTACCGCAAATGAACACTCTAAATCTGTTAGTACGGTAAGTTCGCATTTTTATTTTTTTTTTCAAATTATTTTGGTATGAAGATTTCGCACATCGCACCTTTTTTAAAATATCTTACCTGACTAGAAGAATAGAAATTCGCAGTAGTGCTTCTTTTAAACGTATACGAACTACCAGTCCACTTGATGGTAGGTGGCTATTGCAGCCAACTTCAAATAAAGAATGCACAGATACGTTAGCAACTTTAAGCTCTAAGATGGAATTCTCTAAAGCTTGTAATCATACTGGCTCTCTATACCCTTCTGACCGGAACAGGGCATATATAAACAATGAAATGGGGATGAAATGGGGTTTTGATGAAATCCGGAGGCCATATCAAGAGTTGTAAAATAATGACCACCAGCCAACTGATCGATCTGGTCCGCAATCAATGGAAGAGGATAATGATCGCGTTACCGTATTGTCATTTAGTTTGCGATAGTCGACGCACATTCTATCGTCACCGTTTTTCTTTTTGACCAGGATAATAAGGCTAGAATAAGGCGATTTACATTCTCTGATTATTTTATGTGTGATCAATTCAGAAACTATATCTTTAACCTTCCGGCGCTCAACGGGACTTAATCTATAGGGTCTACGGTCTACATATTTATCGGAGTTTTTTAAACGAATTTCTAATTCACCAGTGTGTTAACCAGTTACGTTCACATGAATTAGCCTACTGCCCTGAGCGAATTTAGCATTTGTGATCGATTAGTAGTTTTCGGCCGAAGTTGAAACCGTAGCCGATTCGGTATTTGCAAGTAAATTTGGATTAAAACGAAACGCAAAGTTTGAAAGATAGTACTAATCTTTACACTTTTTTAACCATTGAACTTACCCGCCAGCAAAGTAGCGTCGCTCTGGTGGCAAAAAAATCTGAATGTGGCTGTGTCGTTGACACAGCCTTGTGTTTTACGTGAATAGGTGTTTTTTGTTTTTTTTTGCACCCGAAGCAAATAAGGACAACCCTCCGGTAACGGGGGAGGGAGCTGGTGAATGCTCATAGCATACCACGCAGTCGGCTGCGTGGTTATGTGGAGACTTTTACCCACTAAACACCACCTTTTGGGATTGGCTTAATGATCTAGCGAGAGATCTTTAAGCCGTAAACGGACGCGACCCTCCTTGGGTGAAAAGAGGGCGGAATATTTGTACGTAATGTCATAATTTATATTAAACGGAAATTCCTCAGACCTCAAAATGGCGGCACTCACTCCACCGCGCGCGCGATTCGTCACAGTCCTCACTCAACGTAACGAATTCTTTGATTCTTTAGCTATCAAGGGTTGTAATTAAATTTTAGATGTAGATGACAGATGATATGTAGATGATATTGTTACGCGCCTAAGTCGACGTCATGTACCCGACACCAGCGCCATCTAGTGTCAGGGACGAGAGCGAGGGGAGCTTTCCAGAAAATACATGACTAGTCTTTCAACCGACAGCGCCATCTAGTATCGAATTGAAGAACTAAGCTTTCTGGAAGCCCCACACTCGAACTTTCTGCGCTTGGTCGGTTGGCGCGCGTATTTACTCGAATATTCTGGAATATTCTGGATGTTTTCGTGGAAGAGCCCTATATAAAGGCGCTGCAATACGCGATCGGGGAAGTATTGAATTCGGCGAGACAAGCGAAGCTTCGGAGCGAAATAAAGTGAATCAGTGTGATTAATTTTTAGTGTTTTAAGTTTTAATTGATGTAAAGAAAATTAAAGTGTTAATTTAGGTAATTCTATCGGCAATTTTTATTGTCACGAACCTCAAGCTCGTAACAATATGTAGCTACACCAAACTGTACTTCGACTACGGAAGCAAATTTAAACACGTACACAATACCCAACTTAATAATTTGATTTTTTTGAGTTTCATTATACTGGTGACCTTTTTTACCGTCTGGAAAAAAATAGGGTGTAACATGTGAACGAAGTGGAAGCCTAATGCACTAATATATTACAAAAATTTTGAATTAAACGTTTGAAAACATTTTTTGAACAATTTTTTTTAGTGATAAGGTCAAATATGCCTACTAAATTTATTGTCTTATTTCCGTTCGTAAAGTAGGGTGGATATGATTTAAATTTCGATAGATTTTAATTAATTAATTTATTTAATTCAAAATTTTTGGTTTTATTTAAATTTATAAAATTTCTAATCCGGCCCATTTTTAATATATCGCCAAGTGGGTCGATAAACCTTCCTCTAGAGCGTCACTTCCTGACTCTATCGTTCACATCTGCATTATTAATTTCTTTGTCACTCTTTCCTCTTTCCTTAATCCTGGTCACAACATCATCTTGCAAACTACACTTTTCTCTTATCGCACAATTTCTCACAATGTCATTCAGATTCAGCCCTAGCATACCCGTTAATGACCGCATTTCTACAGCATTTATACTACTCTCGTGTTTCTTTTTCCACACTCAACTTTCACTACCATACAATAAAGTAGGGTACACCCGCAGGAGAATTTGGCATTTTAAAACAAAGCGCCGTAGTAAAACATTATTTGCTACCTACTTGTGTTTAATATTTATATTCGTATTTTATTACAATAACCATAAGAGTAAAACAGTATTCTGTTTTATTCTTCGATTAGAAAAACATTTATTAAATAAACACAGTAAAAAATAATAAAATTAAAGCAAAACTATAAGTGCGCCTCCAGTTGTACCGACACTATTTAGTAAGCAGACTATACAGGGTTTTTGTTACATGCTGTATAGAAGTGTGCATAAATAGTAGATAAACAAGTAAAATGTGAAGGTTGTTTGTCGCAAAGGCTTGCGGGCGGGAAGGGGCACTGGCTGCGCTAGCCGGGTTGGGCGGGGGGGCGCGGGTTGCGGCGCTGCCGCTGTGGGCGGCGGCGCGCGCGGGGGCGCGCGGCGCGCGGCGCCTGGCGCGCCGCCTGAACGCCGCCTTCCGCTCCGCGCGAGCAGCGCGCGCCGTCATCGCCGGCGCCGGACTGCGTTTGCTCGTGAGCTCTTTTTATTTTAATTTTATTTATTTCTTTAGTAATCTGTAAAAATGTAATAAAATAATCATCATCATTACAACGTTTTATACGTGGTAGAGCCATGCTGCAATTATATTAGTAGTATAGTTGTAGCACGAACGGGTCGGCTCGACCGGGGAAGGACCACGCTCTCACAGAATACCAGCGTAAAATAGTAGCTTAATGCTGCTGTGTTTCGTATGGTGAGTGTAGAAAACCGGAGACCCTTTTTACTGGAAACGCGGCATTCCGTCTTAGTCCTCACGGGTGATAACGCATCTGCATTTTTATTCCTAATCGAAGATAGATGTAGATGTCTATGGGCCACAGCAACCTCTTACCATCAGGTGGACTGTGTGCTCGTTTGTCACCCTATCCTATAAAAAAAAACAACCCTTCACAAGTCCACTGCTGAACATAGACCTCCCCCAAGGAATGCCACAAAGCACAGTCCTCAGTCATCTGCTTCTTACGACTTCCTTCATGTCTTACCAGGTCGTCACTCCATCTAGTGGCAGTGATAGTATGATGTCAAATAATAAGAGATTATCCTTTTATGAATTTATTTAAAAACTTCTTCATAATATATTGATGCATCACATTGCGAAGTTTTTGAGAGATTTTGACGTGTGCTGCAGATGACGATAGTATCTCAAGGCGCCAAAGCAGACACAACAACTTGAGCTTCGCATGACCATCAGAACATTTGTTTCATAGTTCTTCTAATAATTCCCATGTATTGACATTTCATACGCAAAATCGCACCACTTTTACGTATCAAAACCCATTTCAAATCATTATTCAAATAATAAAACGGGAGCAGCAATCCACCAGCGGCCTAGTTTCCGCCAAAAACCCATTTATTTTATTAATTAAGTATATTATATGACTCACCAGCATTATTATATACAAGACATTTGGTGCAAGCTCCGCGCGTCGTGTTTGCCGCATCGGACTGTGCCTGCTTGTGAGCTTTTTTTTTAAGGAAGAGAGCAAACGAGTATGCGGGTCACCCGATAGTACGTAACTACCGCCGCCCATTTGTTAAACTGCAACATCAGGGCAATTGCAGATGCGTTGCCGGCCTCTTATAAAGGAGTAAGCTCTTTTCTTGAAGGTCTCTAAGTCGTACCGGTCCGGAAAAATCGCCGATCGTAAACAATTTCACAGAGAAGTCGTACGAGGTAGAAAACTCCAAGTAAAACGCACAGAGGTGTACCGCAAAACATCCAAACGGTGTGGATGTAATAGAGAATTTTGACGCGATGAGCGTTTGTGAATTTTGGCGGCTGGAATTAATCCAACAATTCCACAGAGCACTCCCCGTGGTAGATGCGATAGAAAATGCAAAAGGATGCGACATCCCTACTCAGCGCCAGTGAATCGAGACGATCAGAAAGAACTCGGTCTTTGACGATTCGAACCGCTCTGCGCTGGATGCGGTCAAGCGGAAGGAGCTGGCACTGAGGTACTCCGGCATAGAAATGAGAACAGTGTTCCATGTAAGGCCGAACTTGCGCTTTGTAAGGTTGCAAGCGATGTGCTGACATGAAATACTGACCCGCTCTGCTAATCACGCCAAGCTTTTTAGAGGCTAACATGGCTTTCCCTTCCAAGTGATCACGAAACTGCACACTCATATCGAGTCGGCGCCAAAAATTCCGGAATTTTTGGCGCCTTGAAATTGAGGATTTAAATATTAAAATTAATAATTTTATTTGTTACTGGACTACTATTAATAATAATAATACTTTGAATTAAGGTGATAGAGACAGCACGAGACTTAACGACATCCTAAAATTGAGTAGCATCTTAGTATTTGTTCATTAGTGTACTATAAATAATTTTCTTTTAGTTAATGTTAATAATACTATTTTTATTACTTTGCAGAGTGAAAGACCAGGCGGTGATGAGCCACCGAATGTTGACATAATTGTAAGTACCTACTTTTTATAATATTTTTTACGTTGGGTATGTTCCAAAATAGAACCCAGTGTACTGTCCAATGCAAATGACGTCATGAATCGACGCTATACTGGTGATTCGTTCCAGAACAGTATATGACGCCATACATTTGCGCCATATTGATAAAGTGTTGGCGATTATTTTGTCATTTTGTGCTCCAAAAGTCATTATATTCTCGCACGCCAGTACAATATAGTGTCATTTGCTGACGTCATTTGTATTCGGCAGTATACTGAAAACGTTTCGGAACATACCCATTATTTAAAGTGGTCCAAGGGGCAGCGCAGCACACCAAATTCGTGCGCAACACGTTTTCGCGTGCCTTGAGGAAGATTCTTCTGTTCCGATTCTATTCTATTCGATTTTTAAAAGCGATTCTAATACTTTGTAGTGGCAGTGTAAGTATATCTACTACCGCATATCATTACGTGGGTGTCGTGTCGTGGCGACAGAGGGAATCAAATCGGGAGATGGACGCAGCGTTTTCCTATTAACTATTAAAAATAAAAACTGTGATATACTGTACCTGGTTGCCCACCCGCTTGCCAAGAGTGGCACCTATAAGGCAATCTATAGGGGAGGTCTTTGTTCAGCAGTGGACTAATAGGTTTGTTTACACAACAATTTAAATTAAAGTCATAGCACTCCAAATTCTCGCTCAATATGTTTTCACTTGCATCACAGATTAAATAATATGCTTGCGTGGAGAAATCAGAATCAGAGTTTTTTATTTGTGAAATACAGGTATACATATACAATAGGTGGTCATACATTTAATAGTGCACTGTGTTTTGTCGTAAGACATACAAATATTTTCACAAATTAAATAGTTTAAAATTAACATTTTTTCCTAATTATAATAATTAAAAATATTCATAAAATTAGATAAAACTTATAACAAATTGCCAGCATAAGACTAATAATATTATAATAATGTATTATTTAAAAACTCGTCTATTGTATAATAACATTTGTGAAGATGTTTTTGCAGTGCTATTTTAAATTTTAACAGTAGCATTATTTAAATTGCATTTGGAATTTCGTTGAATATTTTAGGAGCAAGACCGAAAAAGCTTTTGTGCATTAAGGCAGTCTACATTTTAAATTGATTAACTGATTCAAGTAGAGAGCATGTATTGGAGTTTTCTTGAATGCTGCTGAGGAAGTGCTTGTCATACATTATAATAGAAATAAAAGAGAATAAGAGAGTGAAAACGTGAAATAGCAGCCTCATGCTATTGTGTTTCGTATGTTGTATGAGAATCGGTTACCCTTTTACTTTTCTTATTCCTTGAGGATAGACGCAGGTGTTTAAAATTTAGAGCATCTAATCATAGCCTGGTGGACACCTATAAAAATACTGCATTTACAATTATCCAAAACGTCAATTGAGCGTGTAGTGGTGGTGCAAGAATATCCACTACCCCATATCATCCCATGGGTTACGTAAGAGGCGACAGAGGAAAACAAATTAGGAGATGGGCAGCAGCGTCTCCTAATAACGACTCAAAATAATATACTGCGGTAGCTATTGTTGCGCGCTATGATTAGCGCCTGGTATGTGGCGGCTGATTATTAGCGCCATCTGGTATCAAGTAGCAGAAATAGAAGCGTCAAGATCTTTCTAGAACACTCCTACTAGCGACATCTAGTATCGAAGGAAGAACTAAGCTTTCTAGAAAGCTCCACACTCGAACTTTCTGCACCTGGTCGGTTGGGAGCCGGTATTTGTTGGAATATTCTGGATGTTTTGGTGGAAAAGGCCTTTATAGAGCTATTGAGGGTCGCGATCACGGCGGTACTGAATTGGCGATACGAGCGAAACTTTCGGAGCGAAATAAAGTGATCAGTGTGAATAAATATTAGTGTGTTTTAAGTTTTAATTGGTGTTCGGCAATTAAAGTGTCAATTTTGGTAATTCAATCGGCACTTTTTATTGTCACGAACCCTAAGCTCGTAACACTATTCTATGGCAAATATCCTTAGGCTGTAAAAGAAAAACGTGAATTTTCTTCACTCGACTTTTGTCCAACTGTGGTCAAAATTTATTGTTGATACTGACCCCATCATGCGGCCTACCACAAATTTTCTATTAATATAATTTCCAAACGACTAGATTACTCATCGAAGTTAACCTTCTGTCACAGGAAGCAATAAGCCAAGCGTCAGCGTGCGTGGCGTTTCAGTTTGCGCCACCAGGCGTTGAAAAGCCGCCACCTTACTACGACAAGTTGAACTCCTGGCTTGGACAGGTGCTACAGAGGGAACCTGATATGGTGAGTGTTTATTTCTACAGCTTTTGGTTTCACTATTATAGGACAACACAAGTGCATACATACTTTTACGTCTCGCCTGTAATGCCCTAGGGGATTGGCGGAGTGAAAAAAGCAGTGATACTCAGACCATGTTAAGCCAAATGATATGGCTGTAGATTCAACATTGTAAAATAACTGATAGGGGGCTAGTCCATAGCTTTACAAAATTATACCCAATATCCCATTAGTTGCATTTACTAAAAACTAGGCAAGTATCATGGTTGGCACATCATTTTTTGTTATGAGTGATTCATTAACATATTGCTCCAGTGAGCAATTGATCCACATTGCGCTTTCCGGTGCATGGTTACCATTTAAAACATCTTTGTCTCCTACTATTTTGGTTCTAGTTATAAAACTGAAGAAGTTGTAGGTATGTAGTTTCTGAAAAAACATATAAGGAGGCGCAAAACTAATAGACACAAATACAAAAAATATATTTTAAGTTAGATATTAAATAAAACTACTTTTACAACGTTTCATTGCCGTGGTTCGAGTTCGAATTCAACACGCAGCATGTATTTGTATTGCCTAAAATAATTGTTCCGGGTCTGGAAAAAATAAAATGTCTGGAAAAATAAATGTTTGTCCTTGTGCAATTTGTGTTTGCAAAGTGTTTCCACGATACGGTAGAAAATCCTAACTTATTTTTTTAAACAGAGTAAATATTGCGTTTTACGCTATTAATATATATGTGGTAGAGCCATGCTGCAGCTATATTATGCTTTTAGTACAAATGTGTCGTCTCGACCGGGGAAGGTTCACGCTCTCACAGTATAGCAGCGTAAAATGGCAGCTTAACGCTGTTATTTCGTATGTAGTAGTGTAGAGAACCGGAGACCCTTTTACTGGATACGAGGCATTTCATATTAATCTTTAGAAGTAATAAAGCATTGGCGTTTTGTTATTTAATTAAAGATAAATGTAGATGTGTAAGGGCCATAGCACCCATTTACCATCAGGTGGACTTTGTTCATTTTTTACTCTTATTTTATAAAAATCATCGTCATCATCATTATTACAGCTCTTTACAAGTCCACTGCTGTATTTAGATTTCCTCTCCCAAAAAATTCCACAAGGCACTGTAACGGGCCACCTGCATCCACCGTCGTCACTCGAGGGAGTACTGCCGTCCTTACGATAAGTGCGATAACTCGAGTTTTTGGGCTTATTGACTTAATTACATATTCGTAATCAGGAAAATGAGCCTTGCTAAGTAGTGAGTGAAAGATAAAATTGTCTAAATGATTAGTGATTTTTTTAAAGTTATCTTGCTATTAATACGTGCAAAGTTCCTTAAGTTGTGATTACACAATTTTCGTGAAAGAAAACACTTAAGGTAGTCTAAAGGGAATAAATTTTTATTTTTAGAGGGTAAAGTGATATATTTATAACATTTTTCACAACAGTTAATTTAATTAGTAAATATTTGCATACATTGTAATTTTGTTTTAATCATTTTTTATATAAACTTATAATATTCTTGCAATCAACCACCACTGCATTGTGTCTCATTTAAATAATTTACTAATTAAAGCCTGTAAAATACTTAACTAAGACATTTATTGCACTTGTGGTTGGAAAGCAACTACAGGACATACAGTTTATGCTACTCAAAAGAGCAATTTGTCGGTTTACTAACGATAACTGCAATAAGTAGTCTACTTATTACGGTTATGATTATTCGCGCTCTATCACAACAATTAACAGTCCAACAGATAAATAAATTATTGTGTTTTTAATTTCTATATAAATGTATGTAGTAATATAATATACAACAAAGAATTCTGCATCATTTTATCTATCGTGTAGTAAAAGTTTCAAGTAAAAAGCTAACAGTTACGAAGATACATACAAAACAAGAATTAAATCTTTAATTGCGATTAACTCGAAAGTAGCCAAAACCAAGTTATTGCACTCTTCATAAGAAGGGCAGAGTAGGAGGCCGCTCTACACCGGTACGAGGCTATAACTCATGAGCCCTCGGTAACCGTACAGATAAACATCGAAGTGTGCGAGACGGAGAGCTACGGCGTAGTGCTGCGCTACTGTCCGCTAGAGGGCGCTCTGGTGGAGGAGGAGCGCGCGGAGGCGTGGGGCGGCGCGCTGGAGGCGCAGCTGCACGTGCTGCGCGCCACCGTGGCGCTGCGCGAGCCCTTCCGCCAGCGCCTGCAGCGCCGCGCCTGCCTGCGCCTGGTGCACGTGCCCGGCTGGGCCGGTCAGTTGTTTATTGATTTTTTATGTGGACAACGAATTGTACCAGTTTGTTATCCTAAATATGTCGCAACTAATTTTTGTCTTTATTATAAGAGAGGTCAACTCTGCAATTTACAGTAGACTGAATGACTTTTTTACCGTCTGGTAAAAAATAGGGTGTAACATGTGAACGGAGTAGAAGCCTATAGCACTGATATTTTACAAAAAATAAAAATATTGAATTAAATAAATAAATTAAGATCTATAGAAATCCAAATCATATGCACCCTACTTTACAAACGGCAGTAAAACAATAAAGCAGATGTTTCAAAATGGGCCAGGTCCATGTACACTATCTTAGAGAAAAGAGAAAAATCTGTAGAATTCGGGAAAAATATAGATAATTCATTTAAATCTATCCTGTCGTGGTGAACAATTGATGTTTATCAATTATTTTTATCGACTTTCAACATGGCGTCTCACCGAATTAGTTACTCTGTGCTTATAGATAATGACAGCGAACTATGAAGCGATCATTGATCGTAGAAAGAAAACTGTCAGTTGTCACAACAGTGTCAAAATACGTGAAATAAACATGTCAAACGCCACTAATCAATAAAAATGACAGCTTACCGCCATGACAGGTTTTGTTGTGTATTGCAATTTCAAGTGTAATTTCCTATGCTTTACCAGCAAACAAAGCCATTATAAAATAATTGGAAAGATGAGAACCGTTTAAAATGTGTTTACCTATTTTTGAGTATAGTGTACAAGGACCCGACCCAGACTCCATACATTTTGGAACATCTCATTTAGTAGGCATCTTTGACCTTGTTACTTCACAGGGTCACAGGCTAGGGTGGATATGATTTAAATTTCGATAAATTTTAACTAATTAATTTAATTCCCAATTTTAGATTTTATTTTTTGTAAAATATTAGTGCCATAGGCTTCTACTCCATTCACATATTACACCCTAATTTTTTCCAGACGGTAAAAAAGGCCATCCATTATATGACATACATAACTAATCATCATCATCATCACAGCCCTTTAGAAGTCCACTGCTGAACATAGGCCTCAACCAAAAAATGCCATAAAGCCCGGTCCTGAGCCACCTGCATCCGTCAACTTCCTGCATGTCTTACAAAATCGTCACTCCATCTAGTGGGGAGATCGCCCTACACTCTGCCTTTCGGTATGAGGCTTCCACTCGAGAAGGTTTTTCTTATCAGTTGTCGAGCTATATGGCCGGCCTATTGCGACTCCGGCTTCCGTCCTTCCATCCGTTGCGCTATGTCGTTCACTCTGGTTTTTCTGCGGATATCCTCATTTTTAGGTTTATCACGTAGAGAAACCGCGAGCATAACTTTCTCCATAGCTCGCTGAGTGACCGTGAACGTACTCATATGGCCAGCATTTAAGGACCACGTCTCAGATCCATAAGTCGTCACTGTCAAAACACACTGGTTGTACAATCTCGTTTTCAAGTTTTGTGGTATACCTGACAAGATGTGTTGTAATTTCCCTAACGCTGCTCAGCCGAATTGAATCCGTCGATTGACCTCTCGGTCGAAGTTGGACTTACCTATAGTCTTTGCGTTGTAGCATGGTGCGAATGACACCTCACGCCTATGAAGTTTCATATTTTTTTAGATAAAATGTCATACAGATATTGTTGTACTTCATGGATGGGTACCGCCCACTTACGATAGTGACTTGCCATGTTAAACTGTGCCCTATCATAACGATTAACCACAGAAAATCAAAAATAGGTTTTGAAATAAATCGAATATATATAAAAATCGCGTAAATGTGAATTGGAACTAATCGTTCAAAATATTTTCCGATTTCCGGAAAAAAAAACGCACATGCAGTGTTTCCGATGCATGGACGATAAATTAATCGTTGGTCTACTCAGGCGCAAAAAATATTATAAAGCAAATTGCGCATTGTATCCAAAAATACTTTATCATACCTCATGGTGGCCAAAATGGCTACAAAAACCTATTTCTTTATTTTATTACATCTCTATACCAAATTCTCGATTATTTTTAACTTCAGTACCGATATTTTTTCCACTGGATCTGGCAACATTATTACACATTTAGCGAAAACAAGGCCTAAAGGTCTAGATATCAGGCCATAAACTCAAAAAAAATATAGCGAAAGGCTAATACACATTTAGCGAAAAATTACAGATGCAGACCGCCATTTTATTTGTTTAAATGTCAATATGAATGTTGCAATCAGCATATTAATAATCTATACATTGAAGTGTCTGTTCGCCTAATAATAGCCTTTTATTAAATGCATATGAAAGTATATACGCTATAATTATAACAAAAAGACAAAAACAATTTTTAAAATGTTTCTCTGCCCGTCTGTATTTTCTGGCTTATAGTTGGCACTGGCAGATAGCTGATGTCATAAGGGGTAACACAGGCTAAATTTATTTTAGAAAAAGAATTAGAAATCCGCGCAAAAAAATTAAAACCCATGAAATCCAATTGTAATAAATTTTACGCAGACGAATAGGGAACAGCTGTTATGTAACTTTGTCATAATTTGTATTAAAGTTTGACTTAATTTTACATGCATTGTAGTTTATAAAGAAATATATGTTTCGGTTTTTATTTTCACATCGATAGCTAATCGATAATTTTTGCTTTGTTTTGTGTATCATTATTCACCTTTTTTAAATCGATTTAACATTATTCCATCTCTAGACACGCCAAACTGTAAGCTGTAATGTTATAACGCAAAAACTATAGTCGGACTATTTGTACCAGGTATAACACTCGTCAACAACTTCGAGCTTAGTACTCCCAACAACTACCGGCATACGTGTGACATGGTTACACATGATCTTTGTTTTGGTCCATGTTCATCTTAAGACCTATCCGTTGGGATGCACTATTGAAGTCATTGAGCATAGTGCTTAGGAATGTAAGTGATGTACTGGCCCTTGATGTTAATACCATATTCTTTCCAGTCCAATAAAAATGTCTTCCAATGAAGCGGTGAAGTTTCAGGGATATAAAGTCACCCTGTCTTACAGAGCTCACTGACGTCAGGAGCTACATAGGTGCTTCTTATCAATTTCATAAGATGCAAGCGACCCAAGTATGAATTCAGAAGTACCAGGGAAATTGTCAATTATATATTTGAATGTTAAATTACTACATCCTTAGGCAAACGGAAATAGAATATTAATTCGAAGATATAAAGTCCATCAACATGAATTGGGTAATTGCGGTGGACTCTTCCCTATAAATAATAATTATAATGGTATCGTATTGTTGCGCGCCATAATAAAGGCCTGGTACATGACACTAGCGCCATCTAATATCGAGTAGCGGAACTAGGAGAGCTTTCTAGAAAATTACATTCTAGAACTTTCCCACTAGCGCCATCTAGTATCGAGTGGTAGAACTAGGAGACAACTTTTTACACCTAGTCGGTCGGAACCGGTATGTACTCGAACATTCTAGATGTTTCAGTAGAAAAGGTCCTATATAAGACGTATTGACCGCGACCCGGGTCAGTATAAAATTGACGATTCAAGCGAAGACTTCGGAGCGATATAACTGTGAACTAAAGTGTTAAGTGTGATTAATTATTAGTGTGTTTTAATTGGTGTTCGGTAATTAAAGTGTCAATTTTGGTAATTTAATCGGCAGTTTTTATTGTCATGAACCCTAAGCTCGTAACAATATCTTTGCAGAAATTCATTAAATTAAAGAAGTGGAAATTAATTAACAAAATACCACTTTAAAATTAAAATGGTAGCCTTATCTGTTTTGTATGGAAACTCACACCCTCCCACAATTGTGTGGAATATCACTACCACCACTAAATCCAACACTACCAATCCCATCATCATCGGAAAAAAACACACCACCGTCGATAATACGACACGTTTTTCGTTTGTCGTATAGGAGAAATAAACTGCGATACCTAATTCAAAAAGGCACCGGCAAAATATCAGCGCTGTGGTTATTATACTGCGACACAATTCTGAATCGGGTGTCTATTTATAGCTGCATTATGATAATGTTATATAATATATTCATGTGGTGTAAATATTTATTATGTAGCTTTAAATAAATATATTTCTTTCTTTCTTTTCTTCGAAAACCTTCTCAGAAATGAAAAAAGGTTGGTGTCCAACTGTGGAATATATATTATGTACTTTAATTTAAAAAAAATGTAATGATAGCACTATACAAATCTAAGTCCGAGTATAATTTTCAGGTCTGGGTGGTGTTCGTTACGTGCCTCCCGGTTGGGAAGATGCGCCTGTCGAAGAACTGAACTCTTTGAACCAACAACTGGTGGAAACTTTGAGAGCCACTGATGGAGCTTTTTCTTGCGGGGAAGGGGAGGATGGGATGGCTTGTGTGAGGTGAGACATACTACGTCATAGATTCTGTATTGGGATTCAATCTAAAATCAATTTTTAATATCTCCTCTGTTCATGCGGTGGTAAGTAGCTACTGCAGACTACTACTACTATGCCTATGTTGCAGCGAAATTCGAACAAAGAAGCCTATATATACGTTGTCAAATAAAATGAAATATATTTTCGTTAGGAAAGAGCCATTGAATTGAAGAGTGTGCCAGTCGAGCACCTTTGACGCCACTGACATGAACGAGATGGTTGTACTGACATATATCGATAAATATAGGATTTTTTTGCATTTACGTGGTAGAGCCAAGCTGCGGCTATATTTTATTTACTTTACTACTGGTTGTAGCACGAATGGGTCGGCTCTACCGGGGGAAGGACCACGCTCTCACAAAATACCAGTGTAAAATAGCAGCTCAACGCTGCTGTGTTTCGTATTATGGATGTAGAGAACCGGAGACCCTTTTTACTGGAAAGAAGCCATTCCATCTTAGTCCTCAGGGGTGATAGAGCACCTGTATTTTAATTCGTAATCGACCGATTGATGTAGATGTCTATGGGCCACAGTAAACACTTACCGGTGAACTGCGTGCTCGTTAATATCGCGATAATTTTTTTATATGTAAGGGTGACCCTTACATATAAAAAAATTATTCGACTTTTACAACACCCAAGGGATGTAATGGGTTAAAGGACTCTTACTCGGCCACTACACGGCACTTAAGAAAGGAGGATGGCCAAATTTCTATAGGAGCTAGACTAGACTTTTTTTCATGTCCCAGAACAAACTGTAGTTAGAATTGTTTGTTTTTATGTTATAAACACAGTCACGTTTAAAAATAATATCAAAATAGCCACGATTTTTATAATGTCAACAATATTTTAAAGGCTGAATCATCACAAATACCTTTTACTTTTTTATTTATTGGCCATTTTGCATTATTACATGATGACTCTCACAATTATTCAAGATGTGAAAAATCAGTCCGTAAAATAATATCGAGGTCAAAACAACAGAAGGAAATAACAATACTGGCGCGGATCGATGACCTCAGATTAAGGGATGACAAATAACGTTCCGTTGTACATATGTAATTGAACAAAACATTTAGCTTACTATGACCTACATAATTATTTTTATGACAAGAATTCAGTACATAATAAATCAGCATAGTAGTTGATTTGATGTCTACATACTAATTGAATTGAATTAAAATTTACAACTATTCATAAAAACGTGTATAATTATAGTCTTTGAATACTAAGTCCTTTCACACACGAAATGTCTAATTATCGTCATTAGGTGCGTTCTGAAACTATTATTTGAAATAATTTTGAACAGTTACAAAAGTAGAAATAAATGGATAACTTATTTTATGCTACTTAGAGAGGTATTTCTTGTGTGTTTTAAGACCTTAAACAATAAGAGTATTTTACATAAATATTTCATATTGGGACACTATCATTTCGTTGTCTGGTACGATTTGGCCATCCTCCTTTAATAATTCTAAAATGTATATAAAATTTTCCTGTTTAAAACTACAGTTGGAGTATTTTACAGGTTTGGTATGGTCACAGCTGACACGGACGTGGATGAATTGTTAGATTTGGTAGTTACCGCTGGCAAGGATGTAGAAGAGAACTCCAAAGCACTGACAGACATGACAGAGGTACTGAAAAAAGGTAAGTATCAAGTAAAATCCCGAAAATATTTTTATGTAATGTGCTACAAAAACCCTGAAAAAAAGGTCTTGAGTTCGAATCCCACATAGAGATTTTCTGTCAAGAAATTGTTCGCAGCAGCCCAGAGAAGGTGTTTCGCCTCTGTGCCTCAAAAAGCACTCAAATCGTTGGTCTTACACCATCTCCTTTGGTCGTGTTGGATTGCCGTACCATCGGATTATGAGAGTAAGGGAAGAGAGAGTCCACTTGTGCTTTCACACACATTTGCAATATAATTGTGTGTTTCATTCCCGTGCCTCGGAAAGCACGTAAAGTCGTTTTTCCTGCGCCTGATCTCTCTCAGGTCGTGTTGTATTACCGTCCCATTAGACTGTGAGAGTGAATGAATGGAGAGTGCACCTGTGCTTGCGCATATATTTGAGTACTATAATCCTGTCCCGCGCTGATGGCTAGTCTCTGTTGAGGCTTGCCGCCGTAACCAAAATTCGGTTTAGAGGACATTATTATTGTATACGTTATTTCAATGTACTCTCGCTATACCGTTATCGTTACAGCTCATTAAAGTCTCTGAACTGTTGAACATATGCCTCCCCCATAGATTTCCTCGTAGAGATGTATTAGCTATAGTTGCCACGCTTGTGAAATGGGTTGGCAACCGCAATTTTTAATTTTTAGTTGTTATTAAGAAGACGCTGTACTGTCCATCTCCTGATTTGTTTCCCTCTGTCGCCTCTTATGATAGACACGGGATGTTATGGGGTGTAATAGTGGTTATACGTACACCGCCACTACACGGGTTGTATTGACAGGTATCGAGGCGGCGCAAGCGGACCTGGAACGCGAGGCGTGGCAGGAGGGTCTGCTGCGGCGCGTGCCGGTGGTGGGGCGCGTCGTGTCCTGGTGGGCGCCGCCGCCGCCGCCCACCGGCCGCCGCCTGCTGCTGGCGCACGGCACGCTGCAGACCACAGCCGACATATACAGGTACACCGCACCGCACCACCATACGACACCACCACCGACATATACAGGTACACCGCACCGCACTACCACACGACATATACAGGTACACCGCACCGCACCACCACACGACATATACAGGTATACCACACCGCACGACAGCGTAACAAATCCACCACACGACATATACAAGTACACCGCACCGCACCACCACATACAGGTACGACATATACAGGTACACCGCACCGCACCACCACCATAACACCGCACCACCACACGACATATACATGTACACCGCAACGCACCAGCACACGACATATACACGTACACCGCAACGCACCACCACACGACATATACAGGTACATCACACCGCACCACCACACAACATACAGTTACACCGCACCGCATCACCACACGACATATACAGGTACACTGCTCCGCACCACCACACGACATATACAAGTACACCGCATCGCAACACCGCACGACATATACAGGTTCACCACACCGCACCACCACACGACACCACCACCGACATATACAGGTACACCGCACCGCACCACCACACGACATACAGGTACACCACACCGCATCGCCACACGACATATACAAGTACACCGCACCGCACCACCACACGACATATACAGATACACCGCACCGCACCACCACACGACATATACAGGTACACCACACCGCACTGCCACACGACATATACAGGTACACCACACCGCACCACCACACGACATATACAGGTACACCACACCGCACCACCACACGACATATACAGGTACACCACACCGCACCACCACACGACATATACAGGTACACCGCACCGCACCACCACACGACATATACAGGTACACCGCACCGCACCACCACACGACATATACAGGTACACCACACCGCACCATCACACGACATATACAGGTACACCACACCGCACCACTACACGACATATTCACGTACACCGCAACGCACCACCACACGACATATACAGGTACACCACACCGCACCACCACACGACATACAGGTACACCGCACCGCATCACCACACGACATATACAGGTACACTGCACCGCACCACCACACGACATATACACGTACACCGCAACGCACCTCCACACGACATATACAGGTACACCACACCGCACCACCACACGACATACAGGTACACCGCACCGCATCACCACACGACATATACAAGTACACCGCACCGCAACACCACACGACATATATAGGTACACCACACCGCACCACCACACGACACCACCACCGACATATACAGGTACACCGCACCGCACCACCACACGACATATACAGGCACACCACACCGCACCACCGCCGACATATACAGGTACACCGCACCGCACCACCACACGACATATACAGGTACACCGCACCGCACCCCCACACGACATATACAGGTACACCACACCGCACCACCATACGACACCACCACCGACATACACAGGTACACCACACCGCAACACCACACGACACCACCACCTACATATACAGGTACACCGCACCGCACCACCACACGACATATACAGGTACACCACACCGCACCACCACACGACATATACAGGTACACCACACCGCACCACCATACGACACCACCACCGACATACACAGGTACACCGCACCGCACCACCACACGACACCACCGCCGAAGTATATATGTTCACCACACTACCACACGACACCACCGCCGACATATACATGTACACACCGCACCGTACCACCACACGACACCACCGCCGACATATACAGGTACACTGCACCGCACCACCATACGACACCACCGCCGAAATATATAAGTACACCGCACCGCACCACCACACGACACCACTGCCGACATATACTTGTACACCGCACCATCACACGACACCACCGCTGACATATACAGGTACACCGCACCGCATCACCACACGACACCACCGCTGACATATACGGGTACACCGCACCGCATCATCATATGAGACCACCGCTCACATATACAGGTACAAGCTGAATAACCACACGACACACAACACCACCGCCGACATATACAGTTAAGTACAACCTGTTTTGATCGATTTCTACTGGCAGTGAGTCGTTCGTTATTGTTATTGGGCACAGCGTTACCTATGGTAAGGTTACCATTTGGAAAACATTACGTTCGCTCTAAAACCCTAATTACCAACATTTATATAAGTACTAGGGATGAGATATTTGCGGTTTCTAAGTACGAGTTCGTAAAATAAGTTGGAAACCAGGTTTTAAAATACTTGAAAATATAAGTAAAACTTCTTTACGCGCGCTTGACTCGGGGAGTAAGCTGGCGTGACGAAAGCGTTACGAAAAGTGTGATCGGGCGAGGCGAACGGGAGTTGAGTGGGGGGTATAAGCCAGAGAGAACAGTGCACATTTTCTTTCTCATTTATTTTTCGTAATTTTATTTAGTTTTAAATAATATTATGAATTAATATTTTGTTCAATACATTAAATATTCTACGTTTAAAGTTATTAAAATTGTAAATTAATTTTAAAGTTTATGTTTTGTGAATTTTCGAGTGAATAATAACAAGTTGTGGAAGGAAGCCGATAATAAATTTAAATATTTGTAGAAAATTAATATATATATATATATATATATATATATATATATGTGTGTGTGTGTGTGTGTGTGTATGTATATTACACGTATATGCATATATACACATACAAGCAGATGGAGCTAAAGAAGTTTTACTTCAGTCGTGTGGTCATAAGCAAACTCGTTTGTTTTATAATCAGTTTATTTCTTTTCGTGCCACAATTTTGTACAGTACTCGGAAACAAATATTGGAAATCGACCTTTGGAAAGAGATAATCGGCTAGTTTCAGCTTAGTAGAGCATTATCTCTGTCACACACTACATAAATATGTTTTTCGCTGGTTTGTTAGCGTGGTAGTTTGTTAGTTAAATGCGGTCGCATCCAGTTCAAAATATATATATACCTACGGAACCAAAACTAGAAGATTACCTCTTTCCAAAGGTCGATATGCAATACTTATTGCCGAGTACTGTACGTCCCGTCCGCCAACGCCCCGGGCCCCACGCTGCTTACGACGTGTCCTCGGTGTCCAAAGTTGAGAATATAAAAAACAAAGATGAATAAAGAGCACAATCATATAAGTGCAAATACTTGGATGTTCAAAGTATTTTTATTCGCTAATATACAAGTACATGCTTGTGTTCCTTGTCCATCATAGGACAAGACGGAATACGGATCGATTTTCTATGCAAGTTCTTTCATGTCTGGTGTTTCAAGTTTTTCCGCATCCGACTTATAGCATATACAAGATTTACACAAAATTCATACAACAATATTTTGGTACCCGCAAATATTTTCTGCTCATACCAGGGCGACGTACTACGAAGTGAAATCCTAGTTTTAAATCGCTTCTGTCCCAACCAAACCTTGGTAAATGGTTGAAATGCTTGTATATACATATATATATATAGGAGTATGTCAGTGTGGCACACAAGTTCTTCAGTATACGGAAATAATGATTTTTTTAACAGATACGTTCAAAAGAAAGAGAAAGAAGATGAAGAGGTGGAACGTGCACCGTCACCAGCCAGACAACATGAACCCACAACGAAAGAGTAGTGTTTGTATGAATAGTCCTACGTAAACAGGCTAATGTCGATATGCACGTATAAAAAGTCTTAAAGCAATTATATGCGTATCTACATGTTTATATGTTCCCTATGTATTCAAAATACATTGTATTATTTTAATATAAATTATTTTTATTATTTAGTGACCATAGATTTTTTGAAACCAAAGTGTTTATGTCTATGGATTTGTATAATAAAGACATTTTGTCTATGGTCCGTAAGTGATACTATATAAATTGAATTTGTATTATATTATATAATATGTGTTATTTTGTAAGTTAAAGTAAGTTAAAAATTGAGAGTGCTTTTATTACGACTGATTGAACATTCGTAAGAAATGTACAGTAAGCGGCAATAAAATTAAACAATAATTAGAAAGAGAAGGATAACATGAGGAAGAAAGAGACAATCGCGCTTCAGCATGGTGCGTTGCGATGAGATAGAATGTAACGAGTCATTCCATATTATTCCTTAGGGGCGACAAATTTTCTTCTTTCTTTCTTTCTTTATCAGTACGTAAAAATTCACTGCTGGAGGCACACTTGTACACCTAAAATCATGGTGTTTGCTTGCAGGTTTAATTGTTCTTTCATTTTTTTATAATACTAAAGTGACTAACGAACCAACAGTCTACCTGATGGTAAGTGGCTACAGTAGTTCATAGAGACCTGCAAATAACTTCAAACAGAAAGCTACAGACGCTTTGTGTCCTCAGATGACTAAGATGGAATGCCTCACAATCAGAAATTATTCTGGCTCTTTTTACCCTTCAGATTGAATGAGAATTGAGAGGGGCAGCAGCAGCATCTTCCTGATAACAACTCATAATAAAAACTGTGGTTGCCAACCCGTTTGCCAAGCGTGGTAAGTAAGGCAGAATCTCCCCATGAGTCAATCTATGACGCAGACTTATTTCCAGCAGTAGACTTTAATAGGCTGTAATGAATTGATGGTTACCCTTCAGATTACAACTGCAGTGCAGGCACTGCTATATGTCATCGGAAATAAGGAAGAGGGTGGCTTCCCAGACGGAATTTTAGGCAGAAAAACAGTTCTACCAACTAGTGGTTATTTTAATTTCTATGTGCTATTTTATTGCCAAGTACTGTAAACATTATATTAATTCGTTATAAATGGTGCCAGCATTAGTCCTAGTATATTTAATAAAATTTTATGAAATTTCATTACCTATAAAGTTTAGTCTATTTACTATATAATATTTTTAGGCAATTGTAAAAATGGCCGCTTTGAAATTGATGTTTATTGGCGCAGCAGTTTGCTATTATAGTTTTTAGTTGTTTTCTTCTAAGTAACTATTTTCTTATCGGCACTACCTACATTTCCTTTGATTATTAGGTGAAGTTTGGTTACTTAAAAGTATTCATTCCACTGTCAATTTGTTAGATTATTCAAATAATGACTTAATTGTTGGTTTAATTGTGTAAAAGTTTGCTTTTCTATTTAATCAATTTCGTTAAAGTTATTTTTTTCTTCAGTGTTATATTAGATAAGCAGAGGTACAACCATATCCCACCAAATATAAAGATGCGATAAGCAAAACTAATAAAAACAAACAAACTAAAAATTGTTTGATCCGAGAGTCTTTTATGACGAACTATAAAAAAAGGGTTTATTAGATATTTAACAACTTTAAAAAAATCTCTCTGTATAAGTTGAAATAGTGTATTTAAAATAACTTTTTTTTTAACATTTTTGATTATAGTTATTATATTATGTACCATCTGTCACACCTAATAATATACACTCCCATTTTGTCAAAGGTAGCTAATGTCATAGGCTATTTGTGAACAGAGGGCTAATAAATTACCCACGGAAATCTAAATAATAAGGCAATAGAAGTCTTAAAAGCGCGTGACCTTGTTGCCGCACATGTGACTCGTAGGCCACAAGTGAGCGAGGAGCGTTTGTTTCGTTCAACAGTGTTCTTTTGGACGCAGAGACGTAAAAACGGTGTTTTGCAACATATCCAACTGCGGAAATTCTTCCACAACTTGTAAATTTTCAAATAAAGGGATAACATTAACTCTGTGTTTTAAATAATGTTGTGTTTATAGAAATATACTTAAATAAAATTATTTACCTCCAGTACTACGATTGTCTTCGAAAATGTAATGGTTTTAACATTTGAACATCCATTGATTCCTAGTTTATGTCTACGAGTACAACTAAAAGCAGCGATGGATTTATAGTATGGACAATAAAAAATATTGTCGCGTACGTAAATTTACAAGAACACGGCCGCATGAGTACAGCGCGAGTGAATGAAATGTGATTTTTTCGTTAAATATTTATTTACATCTCTATTTTTTTTCTTTATAAATATTTATACCGCTAACCGTTTATCAGTACCGTGAAACACGCCAACTTACCCGTTTTTTCCATAAATTTTAGTTTTTTTAAGGGTACATTAGTATATTTTATTATTTGCTACAACTTTATGATCGTGTGCACGTATTTGTTTTGTTAAATTTATTGAAAGTTAAAATTTAAACCAATATTTGCTCGATTTTGAAGACGGGCAAAATTATCTGAACTTTTTGCCAACATTGCCCACGTTGATTTTTTAAGCAAATACAGTTTGTAATTGACTAGCAATAAGCGTCACTACCGAGATGTGAGAAATCTTGGCGTTGGTTTAAAAACTTTGTTAGTAGTGTTAAAACATTTACAGTAAAATGAGTGGGTAAAGTTAACTAGCTATTTTCTGCGATTATATGAGTGATAAAAGTGTTAGGGTTGTCACATTCTAGTAAATGTCAATCATATTACAAAATTTCTATAGAGGTAGCTGGATATTATAAAAATCGTGATCAAAATTAAATGTTTGTTTGTTTTTCCCTTATTTCTAAATTTATTATAATAAATTGAGATCAATAAAGGTTCATTTAAATAATACTAGTTTTTACGGAATTTATCGCGTATATTTAACTTTATAATTACCCGACGTTTCGAGAGCTTTACAGCACCCATGGTCACGGGAAGGACTGAGATGTGCAACGTCCAGCTGTCATAGTTAACCGCGGTTACCATAGATTAAAATTTAACTTAAAATAAATTTAAAATAAAAAATACATTCCTATTAAAAATAAAACTATTTGTATATATCAATGTAACGCTTTTATACTGGAAAAAGTAAATGCAAGAAACCATATTAAGTATAAAAGTTTGTTGTTAGAAATGCTTTTTTTAGTAGTTTCTATTCTAGGGTAAGTATAATAAAAAGTAAAATAAATTAAAATCAAATAATTTTCAAGCCATTTAATTAGCAGGTATTTAACATTAAAATTCTAATTTAAAACAATTAAGTACTGTCATTTTCAAAAGTGGTCTATTAATTTTTTAAAAAGCCTCAACACCAGACATTGTTTCGCTGTCGTTGTTGTCAAATTCTTCATTGTCGCTGAAAATGTTGTCATCACCTTCGTTGTCACTATTTCTTCACCTAATGAAATGACTAATTCCTGTTCCTCAAGTTCATACAATCTATCAGCATGCCAAAACTTGTCTCTTAAGCGATCGACATGGTTGCATTCTTTTTTCCAATCTTCTGGGGTTATACTCTGTATCGCTTCCTTTGTTAGTCTTTCTATATCTTTTTCTGATTGGTCTACATTATTGTCTGCCACCCTTTGCTTCATCAAATTCCAAACATACTCAATTGGGTTAAGGTCACAATGGTAGGGTGGCAGACGTAATACCTCTTGTCCATGAGATCTAAATATTTCATCGATGAAATATACCTTCTCGGGCTTATGCCTTTTAATTAACATATACAGTTCTCTTTTTGTCATTTTCTCGTCAAATTCGATGTTGTGTTCTTGCAGCCACATTTGCATTACGTTTTTACGTGCACTGAAATTTGGCGGCTTATTCACCTGCTTGCTGTGGTACGGTGCGTTGTCCATGACAATGATACCGTTGGGTGGAAGATTCGGTATCAATTTCTCTTCGATCCATTTTGTAAAATTTGATGCATCCATTTCGTCATGGTAATCACCGGTTGTTGACTTACATTTATAAAGGAGCTCGGCACCTTGTACGAAACCATTCTCATTGCCTGCGTGTACCACAATCCAGCGCTGACCAGGAGAGTGATTAGTTCCAATACTGGAATCGCTACTATTTTGCCAACATCGAGACAGTGTAATGTATCCAGGTTTCGTCGATGGAAGTCACTGGATTTTTTTCGGCAACACATTCGTCATTTTCTTTCAATCGCCTTAAATATTTTGCTCTCCAGGCTGCTATTTCAGGTCTTTGCACCAAAAATCGCGTTTACGTTTACATTTCTTAAACCTGTACCCCAAAGAATTTATTAGTATATTTCTTAGGGCGTCTTTTTGTCCGGGAAAGTTCAGCTCCTGCTTGGCTATTCTCAAAATCTTTTTTAATGTAGGTATTTCTTTTCTGGTGGTATAAAAACTTTCAACTAAAGAGCGTATGGCGCATAAATCAAAACTATCTAGATCAATTTTCTTTTTGTATTTTTTTACGCTTCTTCCCTGGTGTCGAGAGCATAATAGTGTTCCGTGGTAACTGAAGCTGACGTACTAGGTTGTGGGTCTTCTTCGAAGGACGTCATCTCTTCCTGAACATTTGCCTCTCTAGTTGATTCTGACAAAACTTGTAACTTTTTTGCTTCACTTTTTATTTTCATTATGGTGGTTTTAGATAAACCAGTTGCTGCACATGCCCTTTTTGTTGCTTGTTCAACCGGGATACTGAAACAGCCTTGTTGTTTTTCATTGTCAAAGAATTTAATTACTTTGAGCACTAAATTCCGCTCGGCACTATGTATAGTCTTACACATCTTGTAAGTAGTCTATTGTAATAATAGTAATATTTCACCAAACAGAGAAACAATAAACAATAATGCGATTACGAAAGCGAGATTAATATACGTGCGTCGGCGCTTGCGTTGGCAACGGTACTGGATAGACGATAACGGGCGGAGGTGCGGGGAAGCGCGAGGGGAAGCGCATTTCAGCGAGGTTCGCAGATATTTCCGACGTGTTGTATGTTAAATTGTTTTGGTTGGAAGGGTAAATGAGATAGTATTATTAGATTTACAGGTTGTGAGATGTGCTACTAATTCTGTCTTAGTCCTCAGGCGTGACTGAAGTTGGTTACGCAGAATGAGCTTAAAGACAGTAATCTTAAAGTCTTGCAGTGGTATGCTTAGGTTTAGTTTTAATTTTATTGATTACAGGAAGGTCGAGAATTGAATATAAGTAAAATTGAATGCGATATAATCCGTAAAATAGTTTTATTAAATGTGTAGTTTTTGTAAACATATGAAATCTAATAAATGTCTTAAATCGTTAAAATTCTTGTTATATATAATATATGTACCTGGGTCGAATATGGCCACCTTAAGGTTTGATACACAATTTTTCATATTTTCTAAGGTTTTTAAACAATCTTTTGCACATTATATTAATAATTATATATCTAGTTTTCATGTCGTAAGCAAAAATCTGGCAAATGTATTAAAAATTAAAAGTTATGTTCTCTTTTTAAAAAAAACGGAAAATGGCCATATTTTCGCCGGTGTAGGTTAATATGGACATTAACATGGCCATATTTTCACTATTGCTATTTTAGCGGTCGAATATGGCCATTTTTGTACTTTGTATAAAAATGGCCATATTTACTATATAATATAGGCATAGTGTGTCAGTTAAACTTATAGGTTTAACTGAAACACTATCTCTATATTTGGATTTTTTGATAAGGAAACAATGAAAAAAATATTTTTATTCATTCTTTTTTATTCATAATAATGGTAATGGTACATTCTGAGTTCAAGACTAGAATGTCACTTACGGTAAGAAATGACATAATAATGTAACAAAAAACAATCAAGTTTTCAAGAAAAAGAAGCTGCGCATTAAATCAAATAAAAACGTTAATATTAAATGAATGCACAATTAACAATATAACTCAAACAACTTTAAAAGTACGTAATTTTTTGGAATATATTGAGATCCATAATTATTTATAATTAATTAATAATAATATCTACTTGTTTAAATATTGCAGGTGAACCAAAAGGAAAAAGACTAAAACAAATTTAACAATTAAGTAACATTACAGCTAACAATACTAACAATAAGTAGGATTATTATTAAAGTAATAGTAAGTGGCATATTCTGAATTCTATAATAATATTTCAGTCTTAAATAGAAGTAACTGGCAAAACATAATTATAAAGAAAAAACGTCAATTATGTTACATTATATAGCAATGCTTTTAGATCAAATAAAGAGATTTAGACACAATCAACAATAAAAAGAATGACTTATGGCACATTTTGAGATTCAAGATTAATTTCAGTCAGTCATAATCAGCTAATGTTTTTTTTATATAAAAAAGAATATTAATGGAAATTAATGGAATACAAAAGGCATACACATTTTTTAATTCAATCATTACACTTAACGCACATAAACTGGTCTTTGTCTACTGCAGTTAGTCCTACGCATTCTTCATGGACGTAAGTTTCACAGATAAAACACGGTCTCATATCTGCTACCCTGTCTTCTCCACAAACGAAACAGTACCATGATTCAGTACATTTTTTTGACTTATGCTGTTTGTCAACTTGCTTTTTTTGTGTTTTTGCGTTAATTCCTTCCTTTTTTCTGAACGTTTTGTAATACTGTTTGATGGTCCTAAAATATTTTTCTTTTCAGGGAAAATTGATTTTTTAAGTTCTTGAGTTAAATTATTGATCGTTTTTTTTTCTAGTAGCCATTTCGAGACGTTTTGCACTTTTTTTCAGGAGTTTTCAACAAATCATAGAAAGATTTTTTCGGTTCATTACAAACGGTAATATTTTGACTCGGGGTAATGGCAGAATTTCCAATCTGCCCTGTAGAAGCGGAAAGAGAATTAAAGTTATTATCGCTTAAAGTCAATTGCTGAACAGGTGCACTTATATTTGAAGCAGCCTCATGAAGGAGACTTTCACTAACATCAGTGTCAGTGTCCTTATTATCAACAATTGGCATGGGGTTATAAGTAGGAATGCTTGGAGCATATGCTTCCCCTGGGATCCGATCTGGATTGAATGGGTTTCCGAAAGCTGGATTTGAGGCTACAGGGATCTCCCTGTAGCCTCAAATCCAGCTTAGATGTTTGCTGGTGTTGCAGCTTTATCCCACACTTTACTAAATATGATTCCAAATCTTTGTTTGGTGATTTTTCTGTCTTCATGCAGAGACCAGTATCTAAGTATTTCCTCATCCCAGTAATATTCAAACGACCTAAATACGCTTTTATCCATAGGCTGAAGCTCGTGGGTCGTATTACTGGGCAAGCAGAAAAGCTTGATTTCATATTTTTCAGCTGTCTCCACAATAGAGTAATCCAAATGGCACTTTGCACCATCGAATATAAGAAGCACATTTCCTGGTAATTTGAATTTTGAAAAGTGATGTATCCAATTCACAAAAGCGTCGGTGGTCATGCTTCCTTTGGGAGTCATCTGAGCTACAGCACCGGTAGGTAACGAATCGAGCCATTCTCCTTTCATCTTTTTCCCCTTGAATAAAATCATGGGTGGTATCGCGTGCCCTAATGCATTACCACAAGACACTACAGTCACTGATTCTCCATGTTCAGCTGCCACTATGTGTACTCTCTTTGTACCGCGTTCTGCTAGAACTTGTGGAGTTTTGTGTAAATTTAATTGACAACCTTTTTCATCACTATTATAAATTCGTTCTGGTTTCTTCATTAACTCATATTTTTTCATTAAATCCTTTAATTTCGCAAAGTAATCAGACACTACTGCCTTATTAAGCATTTGAGCTCTGGCGGGATTTAAATTTTGGGCTTTACGTTTACTGATATTAGGGTGCCGTCTTAAAAATCCCCTCAACCAATCTCGTCCAATCATAACTCCTTGACTTTTGGATAAAATGTTATGTTCATTACAGAACTTTTTAACACATGAACGTAATACACGCTGTGTTAGTGGGTAACCAACGCTGTGTGTTAGTGGGTACAAAAAGTCGGATAATGCGGGATTTCAAATCGTTTTCTTGATCCGAATTTAACAATGGTTTTCTACCAAGGTGGATTTAGTGTTTTTGTTTTCTGCCAAATATCGTCTCAGAGTCCGCCTTGGTACATTAAACCTCTTTGCAGCTGTGTTCACTCTCATAACCCCTCTCTTTACAGCAGACATAGCGACCTTCATATCATCTTCCACCCAATTACCGCGAATGCCTTTGCATTTGTATCGCCCCATCACCTGAAGCAAAAATAAGCGGATAATTACCTTCCTAAGTACTTAATTATCAGTGCATCAAAATCTATATAGGAAATATGGCCAGTCAGTGGCCATATTTTCAGCCACGCCACTGTTTCTTTCAATCCCATGCTTGTAAAAAACGCGTAAAATAATTCAATAAGATCTTATCTGGATGTCAAACTCCTTTACTAAAATGCGTGATAAGTCGATATAAACTTAGTTAAACTAATAAAACACTGAAATATATAGCAAAACTCGCAAAAAAAATTAAAGCAGCAACACAAGCGTCCGTTATTTCGTCTTTTTCGCTACTGGCGTTCGCGCGGGAGGCGCAGCGGGTGCGCGTCTAGACATGAACCTCGGAACCGAACTTTCCCGAACATAGCCGACTCCGTTTGTCGTGCGGTTTTCTATGTAGTGGTGAGTGGCCATATTTTTCGGCTGGCCATATTCGACCCAGGTATTATTATTGCTGTTTTCAGTGTTCTCTGCCACAATAAGGAGTTAGGACGGTATCGGCGATGTTTAAATAGATGAAATACAGTGAAAACTCTATAACGAAAGTCAAGGTCACTGTTTATGTCATTATAAAGAGTTTTCGTTAAAAGGAATGAGCAGAAAAATAACCAAACATTAACAAAATATTTTTATTATAAATTGCTGATGCTTACATTTTAGGGAATACATATTATAAAAATTTTGATGCTTAATTGCATTGTACTGTGGTGCCCTTCATTATAGAGAGTGATTTAATACATAAGTTTTTCATTAAAATCAACCAATTTCAAAATAACAATTTACTCAATAATGTTTTTTGTTACATAGAGTTATGATAAATAGAGTTTGTACTGTATAAACAAAATATTTTCGTTGCAAATTTAAACTTGGAATGTTTTTGTCGATTGTACAAATTATTGATCGTATTTTTTATAATAATTGTGTGGCAAACGGGATTGTTATATCACCATATTACAAGCAATAAGATTTCTCTGACATTTCAGTTCCTACACTCGCCTCTTACGACACCATTTGAATTGAAGAAGAATGAGGGCTAATAATCTTCAGCTCAGCAGATGTCGCTAGTAGGGACTGAGGTGAAGTTTTTTGTTACACAATGTCATACAAGCAAGAAGCTGAGTGAGTTAAGGTTTTTGTTTTTTATTTTCGCTTTTGTATGGGAGTGATGTATCTGTTGGTAAACTATTTACTAATCTGTGGTAATAGGGCTTCCGATGCTGAAGATGACCAATGGCCTATGACGTGTAAGTGGTCCTAGAAAAAAAAGCTTAAAAAAGAACAAATTATTTCATTTATGAAGTAATTTTCAATGTTAAATCGTTTGGTCCAATTATTATAAAAATGTTTAAATAAATGTTTATAATAATTGGACATTTTTATAATAATTCGAAAACAACTTTGCATTTTTTTATTACAGTGACTAATCCAAGGGTTCAGTAATCAGGTAATGTTAAACAGCAATTAACCGCGCTACCATCGCATGACTGAGGGTAAAAGTGCATTATTTTATTAGCTGCAGCGTTACATATACGGGACAAGGACGTTTGTAAAATCGATGTGTAATTTATCACGTGTTCCAAGAAACAATAAAGTATTTTCAATGGCAATATTTTGTTATTTTACAGACCAGTAACATTTATTTAGGCATTTAATCTATCTAATCTATCTATCCTATACCTTTAAACGAGAAATTCTTATATATATATATATATATATATATATATCCTATACATTTAAACGAGTAATTCTTGTATATATATATACTTTTGTGTGCAGGGAGCTTCGAGGGCAATAAATCGATCTAGCTAGGATTTATTTTTAGAAAATGTCTTTTTGTCCGTGTTTTTAGGCATTAATTTAATGATTACATATAGCTTAATTGGTATATTGGGCGGTCACAAAATCGTAATACCATGGTTCGATACCGACCGACCGACTTTTTTTTAATTTTTTTTTCAAGTTCTTTTCTTTTTGGAGAAAATCTATTTTTTCGAGCCCTTTTTTAGTATTTTTTAAAAACACGAAAATTTAAATTAAGCTAATTGCATTCATGATTTTTTATTCAAATAAACAGTTCAGTTTTTTCTATTATGTCGCTAAGATCAAAAAATATTATTCGTATTTCATCAGTATGTAATTTGTATCTAAATATAATTTCCAAAACACACGAATTAAAAAAAAAAACCGAGCGAAAAATACCGAGCAAAACTCGGTCAACCGGGTACTTATTATAATATCTACATACTTATTTCATTATTATGACGTTTAGAGTTCGTGATACTACCCAAAGATAAGTGTATGAGTTCGTGGTTTAAATCCAATTCTAGACCTATATGAGTGCTACACCAATCTATTTTTTTAAATATTAAAGTGACAAACAAGCTAAACCCATTTGATGGTGAGTGGCTATTACATTATTCACACCTATAATCAGCTATAAACAAAGAAGGCAAAGTGTATAGTAAATATATAAGGAAAAAAGAAGGTCACAGGTATGGAGTGTAGAAGCTAGGAGTACCAACTCCCATAGTAGAATAGTTGAAAAAGTGGCCATCTGTAAGCAGTAAATAACAGCGCTGGAGTAGCTACTCGGATGCAATGAACTTAGCAGTTGTCGACGGTTTAAGTATGCTGCTAAACTGCTCAGTAGTCTCTAAAATCTAAAATAATTTTAATTTAGTAAATATAACCTCGAAAAAGTCGTCTATCCCACTAATATTTTTCGGTGCGTTCTTTAAAGTATACCCCGTAGTTATAGTGGCGCCACCCTTATTTAACGGTTTTCTATGGATACTTTTTAATACACAGTCTGTACTCCTTACTTCTACACTCCATAGTCACAGGGTTTCGTCTAAGATGGAGTGGAGCAAAGCATGTAATCGTACTAGCTCTTACCCATTACGGGGACTCGGATCGGCCCTTGGATTGTACAATTTATGTTTGTTATCTGCCTCTGCGATACAGGAGAAAATCCTAGTACTCTATTTAGCAGGAACATCGCTAACTTCGATGATAACAATATTCTTTATTACGTTACGACGTATGCTGTATTGGGTTTTTAGATCTATCACTACTGAACTACAACGTGACTGTCATTTGGATGTCAATAAGGTTAGAAAATAGGTCTACTTAATCAGTTGACAGTTTAACTTAAATACGGATGCCGTAGGTGAAATCGGCCAGAATAAAAGTATCGTTATATATATATATATATATATATATATATATATATATATATATATATATATACACACACACAATTGTACAATGAGTGACAAACGAACTTACAGTCCACCTGAAGGTTAGTGGCCACTGCAGTCAATGGACCTGTAGCCAACTTCAAACAAAGTCACTTCTGAGGACTTAGATCGAATATCTCCAAAGCACGTAATTAAACTGGCTCTTAACACCCTTCAGAGAGGAAGATAGCGGTGCATCATTTGGTGGTAGAAATAGGTAATAGTGTTGTAAACCTAGATTAACTCAGAAGCAGAAAAGGCGTCCTACCCAGTGTATTGTATTATATCTCTCTACACTAACAAGCATCTGCTTATCAAATGTTTGTAAAACATACAGCAAATATGCAGCTTATTATGGTCAACTATGTATAAACACTTGCATGGCCTAACATTAACGAATTAAAAGCAACACAAATTTTGCAAACTACATCACATTAAATTATAAATGCCAAAATTACACTTTAAATTAATTGAACGCACTGATTTGTTTTAGTTATATTGTGGCCATTATTTATATTTTATTGTTTAGATTCGCGCGCTTTTTTTTTTCAATAAAATGTATTAAACCAGCGTAAACAATCGTATATCGTGCAAATGTGGATTTAAGAATACATTTTTATGAGTTACCTACTTATTTAAATTACATTGTCTTTAAACATATGTTATTAAATGATAACCAATAAAGTTATCGAAATCAAGCTTTTGTTTTTTTTAATACCTGCCCTTATTCGAGTGCGCCGAATTTTTTTTTTTTATGGAAGAGAAGACAAATGAGCATGCAGCCTTTCTGATGGTAAACGATCACCGTCGTCTTTGAACATCGTCAACACTATATACGAGAATTACAGGTGCGTTGCCGGCCTTTTAAAAAGGAGTAGGCTCTTTTCTTAGTAAATTCCACAATTTGGTCATGCAAAAATAAAATTCCGCATAAATCGCACAGTAGTGGTCCAGTCATCGAGATGATGAGGATGGAATTTCGAGTTTTGTCAAAACAAACACATTCAAATATTTCTATGCATCAAAAATACAAACACTGTTTTCAATTTTAAATATCAAAGTCCATTAAAAAATAATGATAACGTTATTTATTTTATGACAAATTTAACAAATGTATCACAACGTGTCTCTAGAGTTGAGTATTGTAAATATCGACTAAAGGAAATGGGATATTTAACATCATTATCTTTGATAAACACTAGATTAACTATCAATATGCCAGACCTAAGATACAAGCTGACGCGTTTTAGTTATACGCATCAGCTATTGTACTTAAGATATTTTTTAATTGACTGTGATTATAGGTAAGGTTGTTTGTCTATTGGAAATATTGTAAGTTCGTTTCACAGAGTACTTTTTTGTATAGAGAATTTCTGAAACAGCGCT